TCTTCTTCATTAGATTGTGTTGTTCAGCATTAATCTGAGCACAGAAGGTAGAGCTAAATTCTCCCCTTTATCATGATTACATCATTGTGTTCTTCTAACCCAGTTTGGTTGATGACCTCTTGACTTCAGCAGATTATGATTATAGCAAAGTGTATGGGAAATGATCATACAGTGGGTATAGGTTTCACTTGTTTAGCTACACTGTTACTTTTACAATAAGCTCATGGGTACCAAAATCACAGAGTAATTAACTTATATTGCTTCCTCACCAAGGGGTCCGTGGGTAGCTTCCATTAATGCCTAAAGAAGATACTTTTTGTTCAGACCCAGCTGAGCTCTGAGCAGGAGCAGGAGCAGGAGACAGAGGGGTGAGTGGTTTTTTATTTGCTTTCAGCGGAGAGGATCCAGCTGAGGATTTTGGTGGGAGAACTGGTCTGGGAGTGTGTGGAAGCGCTTGGAGTTTTTGCAGATTCCTGGCTGCTTGAGAGAGGAAAGGGCATTGTTTGACTGTGATTGACTGCAATTGAGAGGAAAAGGAAGGGGCATTGTTTTGCATGTGATTGAGTGCCTGGGTGCATTTGAATAGCTGCTGCCAGCACTCTGCTGGGGGAGGCCTCTATTTAAGGAAACACCTGGCCAGAGGCAGAGGAGACCCAGCTGAGCTCTGAGCAGGAACAGGAGCAGGAGACAGAAGGGTGAGTGGTTTTTTATTTGCTTTCAGCGGAGAGGATCCAGCTGAGGATTTTGGTGGGAGAACTGGTCTGGGAGTGTGTGGAAGCGCTTGGAGTTTTTGCAGATTCCTGGCTGCTTGAGAGAGGAAAGGGCATTGTTTGACTGTGATTGACTGCAATTGAGAGGAACATACTGAAGTAATTGTCTGAACATTAGTTAGAAACTCACATTTATACATTTCCTTTTTGTCAAATCAGGATGACTTGCAATTTAAATTTTAAAAGGAACACATAGGAACAAATCCTTCAGAGCTGTGTTGCAGACCCACAACTATGAACACAAGGAACTGTTTCCTTACAGGAACTGTTTCCTTACTTTTGAAAAACTATTTAACCCCCCCACCCCCAAATATATCATTAGCACAATTAGAACCAAGCTGAAATACGTATCCATAAAAACAATGAAATATAGGACAGAAAGGAGGGATCGCTGTGTGAACACCAAACGAAGCAGCATGGGCAGACAAACCTCTCTGGGGGTTCTAGAGTTTTGATGCCACAACTGAGAAAGCCCTCTTCTCGGTTGCCAGAAGGTGGGGGCACCTAAAGCAGAGCTTCCAAAGATGATTGTCCTTCACGTATGCTGGTACCAAGCTATACAGGGTTAAAAGGGCAACACTTTGACTTGTTCCTGGAAACAAATTGGGGGCCAAATTGGGATTTTTTAAAAGTGTAATTATTTCTGAATTAGCTCATAAACTTAAAAAAAAAAAACTGATTGCTTTGTGGATTAAAAATGGTGGGTTTTTTCCAAGGTCAGATGCCTATAAACCCTTTGTGGTTAGATTGTAGAAGTATATGGCAATGAAAGATAAATAGTTGTTCTCTTTTTTCTGTCTTCTTCGTTAGATTGTGTTGTTCAGCATTAATCTGAGTGCTGAAGGTAGAGCTAAATTCTTCCCTTTATCCTCATGATTACATCATTGTGTTCTTCTAACCCAGTTTGGATGATGACCTCTTGACTTCAGCAGATTATGATTATAGCAAAGTGTATGGGAAATGATCATACAGTGGGTATAGGTTTCACTTGTTTAGCTACACTGTTACTTTTACAATAAGCTCATGGGTACCAAAATCACAGAGTAATTAACTTATATTGCTTCCTCACCAAGGGGTCCGTGGGTAGCTTCCATTAATGCCTAAAGAAGATACTTTTTGTTAAGATGCTATAAGAGTACTGCAGCAGATAAGTTAACATGATTTGATTTGCAGACACTTTAAACACTTAGCAGGAGACAGCTCTGGAAGCTAATTAAATCATTTGGAGGTGCACAAAATTATATGCTTTTGTAAGAAACAATTTCAGTGAATTATGCTGGCCCTTTAACTGAGATCATGCATGGAGGTGGTGGAGAAGCAAATTTTGCTTAGAATTAAATTTCAGAAGAATTGTGACTATCAGTGCTGTGTTTATAACGCTGGATCTTTTGAAACTGCTGTTGTAGTTCTTAGTTCTGAAGCCAATTCCAGGTTTCAACTTTGTTCCATGAAAATCTTTCCTCTTACACTTTCGATTAACTTGCCCTTTTCACCCTAGTATAGTGGCTGAGTTAAACCCCCCAACACACACACACACGCACACACACACACAATATTGGTACACTCACTACCTTTCAGATACTGCATCTTATTTAGTGTACCGGAATTCCCAGTTTAAAGTAATCACAAAATTTATGGAGAAACGGATAAAAAAGGTTGTAAAATATCGATTTGGGGAAAATAATAACACAACTCATCTATAATAAGAAGAAAAATGAAGCAATAATTCAGGGGGTATTGAGCGGCCTGCTGCTAGTCGTATTGATCTGGTTCTTTAGTGTGTGAAATCGCACCTGAGATTGGAACTGCATTCCTTCGCTCATTATTTCAGAGATAGCATTACCTTGTTATGTGGGCCTTGTAGAGCTTAGGCTGTTATAAGAGGACCCCTGCTCAAAATAATCACAAAACATTATGGCCTTAAAACCACACTGCTCTTCCTTGCTTGAATCTTATTGCAATCCAGTGTGAGTATTCGTTTGTCTATCATACCGAGTTCTATTGCCCCATTGTTTCCTTAAAGCCCTCTATTGTGCTCATTATATAGCTTAGGGAATGAACTAGAGGATAGTTGTGTTTGCCCATTACCAGAATTTCTTCTACTTAATTATGTGGTATCTTTATCATAGGATAAGCAAGTTATTGTTTATATATGTTAACGGCTGCTAGACTCATTTTTGCAAGACGTGGAAGCCTAAAATCATCCCCAGGAAAGAAGAATGACTGGGGGAAATTAACGTTTTTTTCATGATATTCAAACACACAGCTTTGCAAAGATATAAAGATGAACATAGTTTGGAAAAGGCTTGGGAAGATATAATTACTTGGATAGATGATATTTGCGCTCTCGCTCTCTCTCTCTCTCTCTCTCTCTCTCTCTCTCTATATATATATATATATATATATATCTGTTATTAATGTTGTTTTTCCATGAAAGCCTTTCTTTCTGTGTGTATGTGTATAAAGAAAATATACATTTTAGAAAGTTATTTGTCATCCCCTGGTCTTATTTGGAACTGGACCATAGGGCCTTACCCAAGCAATCTTCCTCCCAGCAAAAAAAAATTAGGACACAAGACGACTTTATGGGTTCAACTAGTTTATTTATTTAAATGGCTGGTCTGGATCGTTGCTTATTAAAATATGCTAACCTGTTCAAAGGCATGCAGTTCTAGGCAGCATACCATTGGCTGACTTTTATAGTCCAGCACAACCCTGGCTCCAAACTTGGCCAGCACATCTGCTGGCACTTGTTTACTCTCACCCGCATTCACACTATGTACTGAGAGGTGTCAGCCTCATCTCCCTCCCCGTATGTACCACAAGGCCAATACCAGGTTTGAAATGATGCTGCTCAGCCACAAGAGTGCTTCTTCCCAGCACCCTTTACTCTAAGGCATGTGATGGCCTGTTCCAAATGCGCCCAGTGCCTCATGGTGTTTGCCTATTATCCCTACCTATCATGGCCAACCTATGCAATTCCTGCCAATAAGTTGTAGCCTAACCAGTCTAAGACCAGGCCTACTTAAATGCTGCTCTTTCTAGAACATCATGATGCAGGCAAAAAAGGTTCCCCAAAAAGCCAACCTGGTGAAAACCATTAGATTCCTGCTTGGACCTACAAAAACAACCAACTAATCCTGCAATATCCCATGGGAGTGGGGTGTCATAGGACTGCTAACTCTGGCTTTGTGAATTCATGGAGATTCGGGGCTGGTGCCTAGGGAAGGTGGAGTTTGTAGTGTGGAGGAAGCTCAGCCGGGATCTCCAGATTACATTGACCAATACCCCTGGAGGAAATGGCAGCTTTGGAGGTTACAAAGCTGCCATTTCCTCCAGGGGTATTGGTCAATGTAATCTGGAGATCAGTTTTAATTCGGGGTGAACTCCAGACCCATTGTGGAGTGTGGCAACCCTAGCAGTGGGTCAGACACAGTCAGAAAAAGCCTTCCCAGGAGGGGGTATAGCTCCTTTATATAGCCATCTTGCTTCCTTCTCCCAATTGGCTGTAGCCTCTCCAGCCCTGTCCAGCCCTGTCCAGCCCAATACTGCCTCATTCCTCCTTTGAAAGAAGGGTAGGGTTGCCAAACCTCCCAGTTTGGCAGGGGTCCCCCACTTTTTTGGGGCTTCTACCCACTGCTGGCCAGCTGGCTGCCGGGGGAAGTCCCGCCCCCAAGCCCCAACACCCACAGCCACCCCTCTCCCTTCTTTCTTGAGAGAGCTCTCTGCACTTAAAGGGGCCCCTTTAAATGCAGGGAGCCGGCATTTCCAGCGCACCCAATCTCTGTGGAAATCGGGTGCGCGGGGGGGGGGACACCAGCTCTCTGCACTTAAAGGGGGGATGTCCCCAACGTGACATCATCACGTCAGGGATGCCCTGACCACTCCAGGAACACCCCCCCAAAGTCCCTCGCTGGGGGTGAAGATAGGACTTGGCAACCCTAAAGAAGGGGCTGGGGCAAATGAATCCATGGCACCAGTGCCCTGAATGCCCCTTTTCTATACTTTCTATGTAATGCTATTTACTAGTAAAATAATATATGACCACATATAGTACAACTTTATTTTGTTTCTTGTTTTAAACAGTTCTATCTCACCTATCTCCTTAGACTCAAGGCAGTGACTGTTCCAGCTGACATCTAACCTTTTTGGATAATCTTCTTCAAAATCCATAAAAATGTGTTAGGTGGGCTCTGTGGAATTTTTGTCTTTTTTCCTTTTGAAAATTAGATCTCCTTGTAGTGTCACAAACTGTTTTTGAAGAATCTGAAAGTGGTTTGCCATGTGGCATGGCAACATCTGATCAAGAAGAGTATCTGAGTCCAGCTGGGTTCATATAACTAATTGTGTGATTCTTTGGAGGACAGCCCTAGTGTTTGGATAAGTGAGACTATTACTCCTACAGCATTATATTGACATGGACCACAAATGACACAGTATATGCAGATAAGTAGGTAACTTAGATACAATTAAATTATGTAATTGAGGAAATGTGTAACGCCTGCATGCTGTGTATTGCAAAAAGTCTTAACTGCATTTTCCCAGTATTTTGTCTTGGATCCATTTATTTTGAGAACCAGTACTAGAAAAGATGTATCTAAACACTGCTAGGTTACCTAACATTAAACAGTCACTCACATCATGCAGCACTGCTTACTTGTTTATGTGCTGACTTCTGCAAAAGCAGTGCACTTAATAATTAGAAATAAATAATTTAAAAGAAAAACAGAAAAGGCTCAAGTTAACATGGAAAGATGAAAATCGAAGAAAAATTGCCCAAGATATGAAAATAGTACCTCGCTGGATAGACTCACATTTCCAGCTTTCTAAAGGTAGCTGTACCTTAAATAGGAAACTAGACTTGTCTTTAACCCTGTGGCTGCCACCAAAGGATAATTTGTGACAGAATCTTTCTACAGCTGCCTAAAGGCATGAGCCATCCCACAAAGAACATTATTGAAAAATGTGACCTAAATCAGTTAGCCTTGTCCTTAAGTGACAAAGCCTTCTAAAATTTTCAATGAATATTGATTGATCTGTGACTTGCAAAGGGATGCTTAGAAATGTCATGCCTTAGATTTCATTAACTCGTAAGGAAAATGAATATTTAAACTTGGAGGGAAAGAATACTTGGTTTGTGGTGAATAAATTGGCATTTGATAAAATGTAAGATATCCATTTTTTTCTGAGCAGCATAGGCTTATTTTTCTCCTTCTCAGTATTGGCAACTCAGAAAGCCAATGTGATGTAGTAGACAGAGTGTTGGACTAAAAATTGGGAGGCCCAGGTTCAAATCTCCACATTCCCATGGAAACTTGCTGGGTGGAGATGAAACGGAAGAGAAAGCAATGTAAGCTGCTTTAGGTCCCCATTGGGGGGGGAATGGGACATAAATGAAGTATGTAAATAAACCTTTATGTTATCAATTGAAGCACAGTTCTTATTCAGTAGGAATATTGATACACTCAAAGTATGTGCATGTACCTTCTACATGTCCATCAAGAACTGAATAATACCTCTATGTATCAGAATTATTTTTAAATTCAGATATCTTTGGTGGAAAGAGATGATACAGTTTCATGCTCTTTGTTAAGTGCCCATCATCGAGGGACAGGTTCTCAGATGTATTTATTTATTTATTTATTCTGTTTATTGTGTTTATGTATTTATTTATCACTAGTATTTATTTATCAGGTGCATCTGAGACCATTAGGTGTCAGTCAGATTTTCTCTGTGCAGCTCAAGGTCTTGTTGCAAGGCACAATTCAGAAGTAACTAGTGCTGCAAACTTTATTATGCTTAATCTGTAGACTAATTAGATAATGCTTTAGTTGGTTAATTAGAGGCTGTCAGTTTTCATTGCTGAAGGCCTTACTGGGGTTGAGAGTTAAAGTCAGACTTGCATAGTTTCTGTGGTGTTCTGTTTACAATAATATTTTTAGATGTAAAAGGTTGTGTTTAACTTAATTGTTCATAATATTTGAAATCTTTATGCGTTGGAGAGTCCAGGTTTGGCAGGCTGGAGCCCCAACGCTTAGCATCCAGATTGGCTGAGACCCTGGGAGCACACATGGGGTGGGGTCTGAAAAGGGGAACTGTTCCTTTGTTTGGAAGCCCTTTGTTTGGGAACTCAGTGAAGCAAGGGCTGCGCAACCTGCACTGGCTACCTATTTAATTCCGGATCTGTTTCAAAGTGTTGGTTTTGACCTTTAAAGCCCTATACGGCCAGGGGCCAGCATACCTTTGAGACCGCCTCTCCCCATATGAGCCCTGTAGAGTACTGAGGTCCACCAGTCAACACCTTTTGGTGGTCCCCAGCTCCAGGGACGTCTGACTTACCTGGCCCCTGCTTGGTGGAATGAGCTCCTGACGGAGATCAGGGTCCTGCAGGATTTATTACAATTCTGCAGGGCCTTCAAGATTGAGCTCTTCTGCCTGGCTTTCGGATGAGGCAGCGGGCGTCCCCCCCTCCTTGGGTTGGCCCCATTTACAGCATGGCCCTATTTTATAGCCTGGGTCTGAGACTCTAAACTGTATAGAACTGTATAGATCTCTGGGAAACTATTCCCAGTCCTATCAACCACTGAGGCATCGGGCCTTTTATTAAGAGTTGTATGTATATTATATGTTTTAATATTGTTTTAAATTGTATTGTATTTATATGGTTGTATTATATTTACATTGTTGGAACCTGCCCTGAGCCCGTCAAGGGGAGGGCGGGATATAAATCCAAATAAATAAATACCATGAAGGATGACAGAGGAGAATGATGCAAAAGAGGGTTGTAGATGTACCAGGGATAGGAGCATCTTGCAACTACCAAAGATCAGATGTAACATGGATTGTGAAGCTTTTTTGTTTTGTACCTAGATTCTGACTTTTGCAATATCCTGAATTTGTGCCTTGAAGGAAAAAAGTTTGTTTAATTTGAGAAGAGTTTCTTACTTACCCAACTGGCTGCTTGGTGCAGTACAGAGCAATACCTTTGTAAGGTTGACTTTGGACAACCCATGGGGGGGTGGCAGTGGCAGTAAAGGAGGGCAAAACAATGGCTAGTCTTGCTGCATAATGTGACAAAGGTCACAATAAATACTTTCTGAAACAGGCAGGGTTTTAAATCCATAATGTTGTCTTAAAGTAGTTGCTTTTAAGAATGACCTTTCCTTCAAGCATGTTTATTGAATTGGAAGCTACCTCAAGTGTGCTTAAATATAACAAATTTTTTTTAGTAAAATGCACACATTAAAATTTAACTTCCCACTTCACATATCAGCCACAATTTTTAATTGCTTGACAGCCATAGTAGTTGCAGATCCCCTGTATTCCAAACCTCCTTATGGAATTCTGACTTTGTGGCTATCTGTTCTTGTTGGGTCCTACCACTATGTCCCTTAAATTGGTGGGCAGTGTTTCAGGGTGGATTTTTAAAGGCAAACCCAGATGTAATCACCAGATTGAACAGTCTTATTATTTGGCATCTGAGGATTTAGTGTTCTCACAACTTGCATAGGAAGAAGAATGAAAAGAAAACCATTTTGTGGTTGCATCAGTTGAAACCAGCTTTCTAAAATCTTTGTCTGGTATTGTAGTCTAGGTTAGTTCAATAGATATATTTATAGGCTTATAATTCAACAAGTTTGAAGTTGCTATATGCAGAGATGATGCGACCTTGACAAAATTCATGATTAACATTCAAATATACATCGTTCAAAATGTCATCTTTTTGTCCAGTAGAGTCCCTCATTGGATCATCTTAAAGTAGAGTTGTCAGCTTCCAGGTGGGAGAACTCCTGGAATTACAGCTGATCTTCAGACGACAGAAGTCACTTCCCCTGGAGAAAATGGCAGCTTTATACCCTGCTGAAGTCCCTCCCATTCGCACAGCCTGGCCTCCCCAGGCTCCACCCTCAAATCTCCAGGAATTTCCCAACTCAGAGTTGGCAACCCTATCTTAAAGATTTGTTCATAAGCCTTATTGGGAGCAGTTTTACATCTGCTCAGTGGCCTCCTTCAGCATAGTAGCCAGACAACTGCTGATCATACATGCTTGATTTCTACGCTTTTGGTTATTGGTTCCTTATATGGAACAGATGTCTGTCTCTCAGCACAATATTACTTCCATTGTTAGACTGATTTTAAATATCTCTGTAGAGTTTCCAGCATGATTCCAGTTAGATCTCTTTTCCATCCATAAATGTATTCCTGTAGAATATGATGAGTAACACACATTGTTTTCTTTTTAGAGGGTTTCCTGTTCATGTATTCAGCTTGTCCTGATTCATAAAATAGACCGGAGGTGTCTAACTCATTTGTTACTAGGGTCAGATCTGACATAAATGTCACTTTGTCAGGCCGGGCCATGTGTGCCATAAAGTGTTACACAAAGTACCGGAGATATAAACTTTATAAAGATGATTTCAGATGCCGAATGCCAATAGCAGGCGTGATTGGATTAGGTGTGATCAGGGGTCATTTCGTAGAAAAAGAGCTAGGGGAACTCATTAGCATAACTCATTAGCATATGTCACACCCCCTGACATCAGGGGCCCGGCTGTGGACCTGCGAGGCCAGTGGGAGTGCGAGGAAGCCCCGCCAAGGCCCTCCCTGGCCCCAGGCAGGCAGGGGTGGGGAGAGGCGGGGAGGAAGCAACTTACCCTCCCTCTTCTCCTGCCTCCTCCTGGCTGAATGAGGGCCGGAAGCGGGGCGGGCGGAAGCAGGGTGCGGGGCTTCGTTGTGTGCCCCGCCCCTCACCCGGGGGAACTGCGATCCCCCTTTATAAACCACAACATTCAAAAACCAGTGGGGGAACATTTTAACCTTCCAGGGCATTCAGTTGCTGACCTAAGAGTAGCAGTTCTCTTACAAAGGAATTTCAAAGGGAGATTAGGAAGAGAGACTGCTGAATTGCAACTGGTAATGAAGCTCAAGACAATGCAGACTCCTGGGCTGAATTGAGACCCAGGTTTCTTCTCTCGTTACCAATGCCTGGTATTGTTATTTGGTGTCTGAAATCACTTCACTCTCCAAGATATAAGGACAGATGGACTCACATTCATCTGTATCTGAAGAAGTGAGCAGTGATTCATGGACGTTCATGCCCTGCCACAAATGTTATTAGTCATTAAGGTGCTGCTGTACTCTTGCTCCCTTCCACTAATAAGGAATGCAAGCTGTGCTGTTAGGTTCCCCCCCACATCTGTAAGAAATGGAAAAGGGGGATCTCTCCAAGTGTCATGGGACTCCCCCCCTCTCTCTGATGGGCTCTTTCTGGGTCTTTCCCTCCCCCTCCCTCCCTCTCTCTCTGAAGAAGTGTTCTTGCCCACAAAAGCTTATACCTGGA